GGAGGCACTAGTATCCCTTGATCACTGAGAGCAGACTGAGATGTTCTAAAGTCATTCCCTAACCTATGGCTCTTTAGCTTTATGTGCCTACCCAGGTTTTGTCAGCTCTTGGCAAAGGGGTTTTTGCCAGTTAAAAATACATGCCTTTGTCTGGTCAGACACTCAGAAATAACAGATTCCTCTTCCTTGGAAGAGACCCATCTGTGTGGTCAAATACTCTGAAAACACAGTTAGCAGTGACTATGAATATTTTAATAAAAGGTAGCAAAAAGATGTATTATGAAAACAAAAGCAAACAGAAGAAACCAGTAACCATATGTTGAGATACAGACAGAGATTTATGAATAAACAAACAAAAAGAAATATCAGAACAATAATCTGATCTTACCCTGCATCTTAAACCTAAGAATGCATCTCCTACTCAGCTCCTTCTTCTGACCTTCATGATCCCCTGCACAGTCCACTGGCTGATGGCCTAAAGTAATTTCTTATGCCCAGGAAAACTAAAGAGAAACGTGTTCTCTAAGTACAGATTTAGTATCGTTTCCTATCAGACTACTGACATACCATATCCATTGGATTCTTGTGGAGCCCATACTATGCACACAACTTTCTGCCCTCTAAAGTGTTTACCACACTGGAAGCATTTCTCAAATAATCTGATTGGCTGCTTACAGATATAAAAAAACAAAACAGTGCTTTACTTTCATCTTGGCATGCTCCTGCACCAAGCACAGCTTGTGCTTAGAAGAGGCATCACATTAATTTAACCCAGCTCACCCAACATCTGTATAGATTGGATGCTTCAGTGGGTCTCTTGGGCACTTTTATCTAATCGCTGATTGAATCAGTGATTAGGTAAAAGCACCAAAAAGCCCCACTGAAGCACCTGACCCATAGAATGATAGGGAGCCAGGTCAAACTAAACATGCTTCCTCTTCCAGTAAAGCACTGTTTTGTGTTTTGTTTTTCACATGTCAATGCTCATTATGACCATGGATCTTTTTTCCCTCTGATTTTAAAATAAATAAATCCCCAATTTTAAAATTAAAAAAGTAACCCTAAATCCACATTTTTCAGTGACTCTCTCTCATGAAGGAGAAGGAAAGAGAGATTCATTTTAATCATGGAAAATGTGGATTTAGGGTTACTTTTTAACCTGAAAGTTGGGGATGTTTCTTTATCGTAGGAAAACAAGATTGATGATTTATGACCAAGACAATATGTGCATCCTTTCAGACAACCAATAGATACTGTGTCACTTAATTTTCCTACTGTGAGAAATGTCCTTCCCTGTGTGCTCTGAATAGCCACCTGTCATTTTAACCACAGCCCCCTCCTTTAAAACTGTAAATTCATCATTGTGTGGAAGGGCCTGTCTCATGTGCCTTGAATCGCATCTGCAAGGACCTAGTTGATGAGTAAGCAAACTCATGTCAGATACCAATTTTTAGTAAAGTAAAAATTAGTATCCTGTTATCTGGCATTTTACTAACTGACATTTCTATTAACTGGAATTTCTGGACAACCAATGGGAGGCAGAAGGGAAGGCAGGGAAGGGGGGGAAGCTTGCATGCAGCAGCGGCCACTGCCACCCACCGCCCTGTGCTGCTGCCACTCTGTGTGTGGTCACTGCCCCCACTCTACATGTGTTGCCACCCCCCCCCCCCCCC